CCTTGGCTCTGACATCAGGCTCCCACGCCTTTGGGGTTACCACTGTGGAGCCACCTTAACGCCCTGGCTCCTCAAGTCGACAGAGCTTAAAGGAGTAGGGAGTTTATTAATAAGAATGTTGGGAAGATTAGAGGAAGGGACTCAGGTCAGACCTGTGGTCCAGGTGGACCCTCTCCTGGAGCGGAGTGGGAGCACAGTGGCACCAGTGGCACCTGTGTGATATGGGAGGGGCACCCTGCATAGTGTGGTGGGGGGGCACTCCCTGGGGGTGACCTTGCCTACCATGCTACCATGCCTGGGTTGGACCTTTCTCATTTGGGAGTGGCCAGGCCCCACCCTTTGTGGGGAAACCGGATTCTCTGGGCATTCCGGGCAGTTTGTGTTCCTAATCCGGGCCACCACCGCTGGATGGGAGGTGCCATCTGAAGGCTCTCGGGAGAGCATGCTGACCCTGGTGGAGGACATGGAGGCCATCTATCAAGGGCACCTGGGACGATTTCAGTGTGGCTCTGCATTCTTCCTCTGTGTCTGCCCTGCCCCCACTCCTGCTGGATACCACTCTAAAGGAAGAGGAAACGGTGACCCACCCTCAACCCTGGCTGTTAAATCCAAGCCCATCTCTGGGGCTCTGGCTGGAGACTTTTTGTAGGGAAGGCTTCTCCCTAGAAGTTAGACCAGGATCCAGGTGGCAGAGGCTACAACCCTAGCCGTGGCCCCTTCCACCCACACCCATGGGCCGCAAGCCTGGGGTCTTGGAGAGCTCAGCGGATATGACTGTGGGCAAGAGGAAGTCTGCTCCCAGGATGTCACAATTTCCTTTGCAGTGAACTAGCATTTCTGGGGGCGGGAGATAAGTGGCCGGTAGGGCGGCTCCTACTTTTTTTTTTTTTTTTTTTTTTTTTTTTTTTTTGTGGTCCTTGTGACACAGGAGCCGAGAGTGAATCTGCTCATCCCCACTGATGTGCCAGGCAGTCCTGGGAAGGGTTGGGGTCACCCCTACACAGGTCGGGGCAGAGGGATCAGAAGTTCTGGGAGAAAGTGGTAGGGAAAACCGTCATTATCTGGGCTGAGTTGTCACCTTGTCTAACTGCCAGTGAGCAGAAAGGGAAACTGAGCCACAGGGATTCAACTCCCTATGGTCCATCGAATTTGGTGCCGTCTTTACAGGTGATGGTAGAGGCTTTCCTGGCATGGGACTCCTTACCAACCCCGCCTGCCCCGCCCCTGCCATCAAACTTTAAGATTGTCCCAGAGGTTGTGAACTTCCCTGGTCCTATGGCCATAATCATGTCTGCCTTTTCCATTTGGTGATTAGCACAGAGAGCAGCACAGGGGCATGGGGGCACCAGGGTGTACATTGGGGTCCCCAGCTGGAGTGGCTTGGCCTCTGAGGGCATCTCCTCTAAAGGGAAAAGAGTATTTATGGCTAGCCAGGGAACTAGGCCGCTGGGCCTCATCCTCAGCCATCACCCAGTAGCCTCCGTCCAAGCCCTACAGTGGGGCGGGGCAGGGTGAGTAAGTGACCTCTAGAGTCAGCTGCAAGATTTGAGAGAGGGCCTCTGCCCAGCATCTGTGCAGACTCAGGTCATCCCCAGCTGCAGACCCCCACCCTCCCCAGACGCCTCCAGTTAGGACTCCATGGGTGTGAGGGTAGAGCAGGGGACTCCTGCTGTCAGACAGAGCCTTGGGATGCTCTGTGAGGTGTGTGAGGTCAGGTCCGGTGGTCACAAGGCAGGCTTCTTGGAGGTGACACTCCTTAAAGAAGCAGGTGGGGGGGACATGACAGTTGTGCCCGGGGTTCTGGCAGGGCTGCCGGTGCTGAGGGTAGGGTGGTGTACAGCAGCCCAGGGGTCACACAGGTCCTGACCCTGGGCACGCTGCCCAGCTGGACCATCACCCTGACTCTGAGCAACAAGATATCTGGACGAAGAATGGTTCATTTTCTGGGTTAAGTCTCCTCCAGAGACTTCCATGGTCTGTGCTGCCACTAGAGGCCATATTGGTATCTGTGACCTGTGCTGCACGCCTTTAATCCCAGCACTCAGGAGACTGAGGCAGGTAGATCCCTGTGAGTTCGAGGCCAGCCTGGTCTACAGAGCGAGTGCCAGGACACCCATGGTTACACAGAGAAACCCTGTCTAAAAACAAACAAACAAACAAAAAACAAAACAAAAGAAACAAAAATTCGACAAAGATGCTGAAGTGTGATCTTCACTGTTGGTGGCTTCTGGGGGAGGAAGCTGGCCACTGGGAATTCGACCATGCTCCAGTGAATACATGGGCAACACGAATTAGACTTGGTGGGGTTTTGGAGGGGAGGGTGCAAGGGGGAGGGTGAGCCTAGAAGGAAGGGGAAGTGAGCATGATTGGGGTGCTGCCTGCCCCTCCCCATCGGTGCCAGTTTCCCAGGGTAATGCCTGCCTGATGCCCTCTCCCTGCCCTCTGGTCCCAGATGGTTGCCAAGCTGAGGAGCTTCTGTGTAGAGGCCCCAGGTGAGGCTGTTGTCCTGGAGTTATCCCTAACAGTGTCCTCATGTGACTACCAGTGCTCCTCGGAGTCTGCCAGTCCAACCCCCAGTGTCTTCCATCTGTGATCTCAGAGGGCTGAGGGACAGGACTCCTGACACCTTGGGGTGATGGAGCCAAAGCCGAGGTGACTGGTCCCGCTTAGAGAAGCAGTGATGCCCTGGGCCAGCTCTGCCTCAGCTCTTCAAAGCCCCCTCCCCACCCAGTGCTCTGCACCTGCAATGTGGAGAGTTCTACTGCCCCAATACAGAATCAAAACCTAGGAGGCCCAGAGCAGCTCTTGCTTCCCGCTGATCCACAGTAGCCTCTGGACAGCACAGGCTCTGCCAGTCATGCCTTGAAAATCACTAGGATGCTACACCATGATTCCTTTTATGGGTGACTCTCTGGCCCCATCATGAGGGTCTTCCAGCCCAAAATGTACCCTGGAAAAGAGGTTGCCAGACTCCCAAGGTGGCCTCACACCTACTGTCTCTGAGCTGCACCCCTTACCTGCGGTGTAAGCTTGAGTAAGTTAATCAACCCTTCTGAGCCTCCATTGCCCACCTACAAATCAGAAGTGTGATTATGTCCCTCTTGGAAGATATGTTTGGAGGGACAGTGCTTGTGGAGGGCTGGGCCAGGCCTAGCACATGTGGCACTGTGATACTTCCTGGTAGCTCCTGGGGCTTACTCCAAGGAGGCTCGAGGTACTCCTCTGCCTTGTTTATAATGTGTGCCCCAACAAGGCTTCCTAAAACACAGACACCGTGGTGCTCTCTTTCAAATGGTTAATGTTATGTTCATGTTGTGTGGATTTTACGTCAATAAAAACACACACAGCAGAACAGGTCCCTGTATCTTGAACACTGCCGTAGTATCAGGCTGACTATTGGAAAATAAATGTGTTTTTATTTGTAGTGCTGGCATATATGGCAGGCACCATACCTCTGAGCCCCTTTTCTTTCTCTGTGTGTACTCGCCTGTGGGCGGGGTGTGTTTATGAGGGTGTGTCTGTCGTGACACATATGTGGAGGTCAGAAAACAGTCTTGGAAGTCAGTCCTCCACCTTCTGCCTTGTTTGAGACATGATCTCTTTGTTGTCTGCTGTGTGTACACCAGGCTAGCTGCCCCTCAGGCATCTGAAGGCCCTCTGTCTCCGCCTCCCAGTCTTGCTGGGATAACAGGTGCTGTTGTTGGCTCTGCTGGGTTCTTCACGCTTGCATGGCAAGCATTGTATTGATTATGTCATCCCTGGCCCTGTGTGTGTGTGTGTGTGTGTGTGTGTGTGTGTGTGTGTGTGTGATGAGCCTGAGCCTGCCAAAGAACAACCTTGGGTGTGTCATTCCTCAGGGACCACATACCTTTTTTGTTCTTTTTTTTTTTTAAGATAATTTATTTATTTATTATGTATACAACATTCTGCTTCCATGTATATCTTCACACCAGAAGAGGGCACCAGATCTCATGACAGATGGTTGTGAGCCACCATGTGGTTGCTGGGAATCGAACTCAGGACCTCTGGAAGAGCAGTTGGTGCTCTTAACCTCTGAACCATCTCTCCAGCCCCCTTTTTTGTTTTTAGACAAGGTCTCTCACTACCTTGGAACATGACCAAGTAGGCGGGGCTAGCTGGCCAGCAAGCCCCGTGGGTCTCTTCCTGCCTCCATTGGTCCAGGGCTGGGATTACAGACCCATATTACCATGCCCAGCTCAGGCTCCACACTGTACAGAAAGTACTTTAGGACTGAGCCCATCTCCCCACCCCAGACAGTAAATCTTAGTAGAAGACAGGGTTAGGTAGATGCTGCTGGGGCTGGAGAAGTGGCTCAGTGGTTCCATTCCCAGCAGTCACATGGCGACTCGAAGCTATCTGTAACACCAGTTTCAGGGCATCCAAAGCCCTCTTGTGGCCTCTGGGCACCAGGCATACATAAAGGCAAAACACTGGCACACATTTGTTTCAAAAGTGCTTGCCACACAAGCCTGACAGCCTAGGTTTGATGGCAAGTACCAACAATGGAGGAGAGATTAAATTGATTTTTAAAAGTCAATAACTGTGGGACTTGTGAATTAAAGTTCTAGTGAGCTGGGAGTAGTGGTACACACCTGTGATTCCCCACACTCAGCAGGTAGAGGGCAGAAACATCAGGAGCTCAAGATCATCCTCAGCTACCAGCAAGTTCAAGGCCAACCTAGACTGCATAAGATCTTATCTCTAAAGGATAAAAGACCCTTTTAAAATAATAAAAAAAAAGACTAGAGGCAGACCTTCATGCCTGGCTCCACTGAAGCCCTGGAGCAGACCTTGTCTGAGTGGTGGTAGGTTGGTACCCCAAGTTTGATGGCCACGTGGACCTTGGCTGGACCAGCACTATGAAGGGTCCTCACTCTGGGACTCCTCCTGTCCGTCCTATGGGAGACAGGAGAGGTCAGGGAAATGGGGTGATTTGGAGGTTGGCCTGTCCCCTCTAACCTGCCCTTCTGTTCTCATAGGTTGGCTGCTAAGACTGCTGTCCTGGCTGACCTACAGCCATCTGTCGCTCCATCTGCCCACTGTGGCCCCAGGAGCAAGGAAGGGAGTGGAGTATGGTTTAAGACACCCTCCAACAAGCATAGAAGCACGGGCCCTGCACACAGCTGAAGGTAGGAAGCTGGTGGCTAGGTGGTGGCTGGGTGGGTGGCCTCAGGTGCCCCTACTTGTTTGGTTTAGAAGACAGTCAACTCAGCTTCAGAAAAGAACACATGCCTGGAGCCAGGGCTGGAGCTGCTCAGGCATCCAGGTTGAGCCAGATGATGACCAGGGATCAGAGGGGCATGGGATGTGTGCAGGCTGAGACCCAGCATCCTTGGAACCCAGGACCTGCACGTGCCAGACTGATGCACTGACCTCTCCACAATCTTTAGCTGTTTGGTTTTCTTTTTATGTTGTATGTTTTGAGACCGGGCTTTGCTATGTAGCCCTAGCTAACCTTGAACTCCCAGCAGTCCTCCTTTCTCAGCTTCCCAGATGCTGGGTTTACAGACATGTGCCTCCATGCCTGGCTTTTTTCTTTTTCTTTTAGTTTTTGTCAATGTGTATGTGTGTATTCTGTGTGTGCAGGCGCCTGTGGAAGTCAGAAGGCATCCGATGGCCTGGAACTGGAATTATAGGCTATTGTGAGCTACCTGATGTGGTGCTGGGAACTGAACTCAGGTCCCCTGGAAAAGCAGCCGGTGTTCTTAACCACTGAGCCATCTGCCTGCTCTTTCTTTCTTTCTTTCTTTCTTTCTTTCTTTCTTTCTTTCTTTCTTTCTTTCTCCTCTTTTTCTTCAATACAGTCTCAAGTATTGAATCCCTTGAATTCTTTGTGTAGCCCAGACTGTGCCTCCAACTCTCAAGTTTTCCACACTTATTTATTTATTTTGTGTGTGTGTGTATTTACATGCTACCACAATGTACCTATGAGGCCAGAGGGTGATTTATACAAGAGACAATTCTCTCCTTCCACAGGGGGGTTCTACAGGGCACACTGGTGTTGTCTGATGGCAAGCACCCTTACCCTCTGAGCCTTCTCACCAGCCTTGGCTCTAACTCACGATCCTCCTGCCTCGGCCTCCTGAGTGCTGGGTTTACAGATGTGTGCCACTATGCCCTATGTGAGTGACATCTTCACTTAAGATAATGCTTTCAAGGTCACAGCCTATTTCAGCACCTCAGTTCTTTTTGCAATGAGCGGGCGTTAAGATGAGGACATTGTATGAACCTGCCCCATTCTGTCTATCCAGTCCTCCATTGACGGGCATTTGGTGGTTGTCACCTCAGCTCTGGTGAATACACTGCTGGGGACATTCCTGCACAGTGTCTGCACACTGTGCTTGAGGAATGTTTTGGGAGTCCCTAGGAGGGAGAATGTTGTTCTCTTTGTTATGTAAGTGAAAGCGTGGGGGGGGCGTGTGCAATGGCTCAGCCCTCTCATTGAGACAAGCCAAGACCACTTGCCGGTCCAGCTGGGGCGCCCACCTCCAGCTGAGGGGCCAGAGATGCACAGTCAGAACAAAGCTGGTGGGGTCAGGAAGCAAATGGGCCCGTAAGCCGCATGGAGGAGCTTGGCCTAGAAGAATAGGATCTTGGAACTGAGCAGAGACAGGCATGATTTTTTCATTTAAGCCCATTGGAAGGAACTTAAGGGCAGCAGATGGAGGGTTGGGGAGACTGAGGTGAGAGCAGGCTAGCAGGCTGTGGAGAAGGGTAAAGATGGAGAGAGCTAGGGGCCCAGAGAGAGGGCGCGGCGGTCAAGAGGACCTGGTGTAATTCCCAGCACCATTGCCCTCTTCTGGCCTCCGTAGGCACCAGGAAATATATTACAAATGTGCATAAAGTATATGTAAGCAAAATACTCATACATATAAAATAAATAAATTAAAAAATAAAAGTAAAAGCTATTGAGAGCTAGAAATTGGGGCTCCACACATGGTGGCTATGGAACACACACACACACACACACACACACACACACACACACACACACACACACACGCACGCACGCACGCACGCACGCGCACACACACATGCACGCACGCACACCACACACACACCACACACACACACACACACACACACGCATGCACTTTGCACATTTGTTGCCTCCTACTGAGCTTCCCAGAGCTACAGGGACAGAAACAGACAACGGGTGGGTGCCCCGTCTGGGAGCCATCTTAAGGGAATGGGGTTCAGTGGCCTGGCCCAAGCAGGGAAAGTTTCCCTAAGGCAATCGACCACCTCCTCTGTACAGGGCCACCTGTCCAGATCCATTGAAATTCTCAGAGCTGGTGTTCTTCACGCCAGCCTCCTGCATGTAGTACTTTGTATGTAGTACTTTTTACACACCCACACAGTATGATCCACGCTGAACAAAATGTCCTGTATAACCATCCATCAGGAATTGAGTCTTGGTGTGTTCCATTCAGTGAGGACTTTTCTGTCCTCAAAGATGTCTGTGTGCTCCCCAGGGAGCCGGCTTCACACCCGACCTGAGAACCTCAGCTGCTTTGAGAGCCTATGCCTGTTTGCTGGAGCACAGAGGCTGCCCTGAGGGACGGCCCCAAGCTTATTTTCTGCTTTGCCTGCTCAGTCTTTTGTTCGGTGAGCATGAATCACCTTTGTTAGAATATTTTGTCACTGTGGAAAAAGAAGTAGCAGGGCTGGAGATGAGTCTCATTGAGGAGAGGGCTTGCCCAGCATGAGTAGAGCACTGTGCTTGATCCCCAGCAGATAATCCCAGGGCAGGCGGGAGAAGCAGGAGATCTAGGAGTTCACAGTCACTCTTAGAAACACAGCATGGGGCTGGAGAGATGGCTCAGGGGTTAATTGAACTCTGCTCTTCCAGAGGACTTGAGTTCAATTCCCAGCAACCACACAGTGAGATCTGGTGTGCTCTTCTGGTGTAAAGGCAAAACACTACATACCTAGTTAATTAATTAAAAAAAAAAAAGAAAGAAAGAAAGAAACACAGTAAGTTCATGGCTAGCCTGGGATGAAGCCTGCTCCTAAAGGAAAGGAAAACATGAGAAATAACTGGCCTGTAGCAGTTTCAATTATCTTTCTCTTCTCTTCTCTTTTCCTAACAGATGTAGCCCAGGCTAACCTAGTCCAGGCTGGTTAATCCAGAATATTAAACTCACAATATTCTCTCCTCAGTTTCGAGCACTGGGATTACAGGCTTGTACTAACCACTCAGAGGCATGCTGAGTGGCTGAGGCTGGCCTTGAACTCCTGGGCCCAAATAATACTCCCTCAGCCTCCTGAGCAGCTGGGATTATAGGTGCTTTCGCTTAACTTTGAGGAGGAACTAGGCAGCCTTGGGAGACCTGCATGGTGGGTTTCTCTTTCCTCTGGGACTTAGGCAGAGCCACCACTCCTGTGCATGACAAGGCCTGCTTCCCCAGGAGAAGCACCTGCTCTGGACAGTTGACCCCGGGTGGCAGCAGCTGGTGCCTGCCCAGCAACACTGAGAGCTCCAGTTGGCAGTTTGGCGTGCTTGGTTGTCTGGAGCATTCCTGTCCATTGAACATGCCCACAAAGACCAAGGAAGGGTCCTTTGTCCAGGCCCATCCTATGGCCCCTGACCTGCTCTGACCACACTCACTCTTTATCGTTCACTAAAGCAGAGAAACCAGAAAGGGACTCAGGAGGTGGGGGGAGGGTCAAGGTCCTCCTCACCCCTGCTAGTCAGAAATGCAAATGAAAGTCAGAAATAGACCCCGATTTCCTCTGGCAGCCCAGATGTGGCCTAGCGGTGTGGGGCAGGCTGGTGCTGGCCCTAGGCTGCCTTCCCTGCTTCCATGATCCCCAACCCCCTCAAGTCCTGCCTCCTCTACATGCCTGTCCTCCCTGTCTCCCTTCTAGCGTCATCGTGTCCACCATGGCCTCAGCTGACAAGAATGGCAGCAACCTCTCTGCCTCGTCTGGTAGCCGCCTGCAGAGCCGGAAGCCACCCAATCTATCCATCACTATCCCACCGCCAGAGGCCCAGGCCCCCAGTGAGCAGGATGGCATGATTCCTGAGGTGAGAGGCGCACAGAACCTTCTGGATGGCTGCACTTTCTAGACACGCCCATCCTTCATGGTCCCCCTGGCCGTCCTGCAGCCTCATCGTGGCCTTGAAATATTGTAGGGAGTGAGGCTTTGAACTCTGAAACTTTGGGAGCTCCGTCGCTTGGTGGCCTAGGAACAAAGAACACTGTCCTCAAGAAAAGGGCTTATTGGCAAGCATAGTTTCTGGTTGTTTACACTTCTCCTCTCTGGCCCTGGCTGGCCTCTTCTGAGGGGGTGTGGGCTGTCTGTGGTGGCCTGAGTGGGTGCAGGGTCCCACAGTGCCAGCAACCCACCCCCGTAGTGCCTGGCTTTTGGGGGGATGGGTCAGTGTTTCTGTCCATTTGGACTCCTGTCCCATAAAGACTTCATTGAGAACAGGCCCCAGATAGCGTGGGCTTTGCACACAGCCCAAGACATAAAGGGGAGCTATGTTGGGGCCACCCACTCACCCTGCAGGCTCTGTGGGACATGTGAAAAGAGGCGAGACCATCCCAGATCACGAGCAGATCATGTATGTATAGGGAGTATTTGCTGGGACTCACTGGAAAACATTAGGTGTTTTATTTATTTTTTGAGACAGGGTCTCATGTAGCCCAGGTTAGCCTCGAGCTTGCTACGTAGTCAACAATTTACTTCGAACATCTGCTCTTTCTGCCTCTACTTTCTGAGCGCTGGGGTTGCTTGTGTTCAGAGCTGCATCTGGTGTCTGCAGTGGTGGCATGGAACCCAAGGCCTTATGTATGCTGGGCCAGCACTCAACCAGCTTGAGCTACAGCCCCAGACCTTGCTAGAAAACACTAGAAAATGTTCACTTCAAGTTCAGAATGAAGGACTTGTGGAAGGAGGGGGCGAGGCTCAGTGGTCTGGTATTAACGTGGCCTAGCATGCTACGGGTGTGGGTTCTGTCCCCAACACTCCAGTGAAAAGGAGGGAATGGGCCAAAAGCAGCTGGCTGATGAGCGGGCCATGCACTCAGCACATGTCCTCCTCGCCATCCCACAGAGGCCCAAGAACCCAGCCTACCTGAAGAGTGTCAGCCTCCAGGAACCCCGAGGACGATGGCAGGATGGCACAGAGAAACGCCCTGGCTTCCGCCGCCAGGCCTCCCTGTCCCAGAGCATCCGAAAGTGAGTACCTGGGCCCCACCTGGACACCCAGCAGCCTGCACATTCTGGGCACCTGGTCTTTCACAGGGCCTGTGTCCCTGTTCCAGAAGGCATAGATAGTAAGAGACAGCTTCCCGCAGAGGTGGAGTGCCAGCTTCTAACTGATGGAGACAGGGCAGCCTGTCTCCTGTGTGCCTGTCAGGAAGTTTCACGGCATGCTGTAGAGGGCCTCTGGAGGCCTTCCCAGTTCCGTTCCTCATGATGCATGGAGCCTTCTCTCTAAGCCTGGTCACTGAGCTGTAGCTGGGAACTCCGTGAGGCTCAGGGAAGCTGATTCCCCAGGACCCTGAAGGTATATGGTACAGCAGGTGGTTTGCCTTACACACACACACACACACACACACACACACACACACACACACGGGAAAACTCGTGCTATCACCCTCCAGCCACCTCTCCCCCTCCCTGTACCACTTTCCCTAAACACGTGCACATTTCCTCCGTTGCCTCCCCGATATACATGCTCCTCACTGGCTACCTTCCCAGCACACACGTGCTGTCATCTCCCATGCTACCCCTGTGCACCTGATGGGAGATGTCCTTCTATATATAGGTTTCTCTCACTGGTTGATAAATAAAACACTGATTGGCCAGGCAAGAAGTATAGGCAGGGCTAGGAGATGAGGAGAATTCTGGGAAACTAGGCAGATAGAGTCGTCATGCAGAGCCCGGGAAGAGAGGATGTGGTAATCCAAGACCATGTGGAATACAGAGATTATTATCATGTTACACAGCATTCTGCTTCCGTGTCTACCTGCACACCAGAAGAGGGCACCAGATCTCATATGGATGGTTGTGAGCCACCATGTGGCTGCTGGGAATTGAACTCAGGACCTCTGGAAGAGCAGTTGGTGCTCTTAACCCCTGACCCATCTCCCCAAACAAAAAATGGGTTAATAATTAAGACAGAGCTAGCCAATAAGAAGCCCAAGCCACTGGCCAATAGTTTTATAATTAATATAAGTCTTATGTGTTTATTTGGTGATCTCAAGGGTGGCGGGACCCTGCTGGGACAAAGTACCTCTCATTACAGTCTCACACACACACGCACGCACGCACGCACGCACACACACACACACACACGTGCAGCTCCCCTGTATATACATGTGTACCAGGACCCCTCACACTACCCCCTCCCTGGAAGCGAATGCACAGGTTTCCACCCACACTGTGTCTTTTTTTTTTTTTTTTTTTAACAGGGGCACGGCCCAGTGGTTTGGGGTCAGTGGTGACTGGGAAGGCAAGCGGCAAAACTGGCAGCGCCGCAGTCTGCACCACTGCAGCGTGCATTATGGCCGGCTCAAGCCCTCATGCCAGAGAGAGCTGGAGCTGCCCAGCCAGGAGGTGCCCTCCTTCCAGGGCACTGAGTCTCCAAAACCCTGCAAGATGCCCAAGGTGGGCTCTCTGGAAATGAGGGGCAGTGAGCGGCTCTCCCAGGGCCTGGGCAGCTTTGCTCACCCACTGTCTCTTCCAGATTGTGGATCCTCTGGCCCGAGGCCGGGCCTTCCGCCACCCGGATGAGGTGGACCGGCCTCACGCTCCCCACCCACCTCTGACTCCAGGGGTCCTGTCGCTCACATCCTTCACCAGCGTCCGCTCTGGCTACTCCCATGTGCCCCGCCGCAAAAGGATATCCGTTGCTCATATGAGCTTTCAGGCAGCTGCTGCCCTCCTCAAGGTGAGGCCCATGCTGAAGAGTTATGGCCCCACCCATGGCAGCCACTGAGCTCACGTAGTATCAGGGCTTGGAGTGCACACGCACCCTGAAGCCCAGAGACACCTATGGCCCCTGGCCTCAGTTCCCCCGAGAGACCCTTGCTGCCCCTCTGTTTAGGAAGCTACTTTCTTTCTTTCTTTTTTTTTTTTTTTTGGTTTTTCAAGACAGGGGGTTTCTCTGTATAGCTTTGGAGGCTGTCCTGGCACTCGCTCTGGAGACCAGGCTGGCCTCGAACTCACAGAGATCCTCCTGCCTCTGTCTCCTGAGTGCTGGGATTAAAGGCGTGCGCCACTTCCCAGTTAGGAAGCTACTTTCTACAGTTATGGGAGACATGACAGGAGATAAAGTGTCAGACCCGTGGGCGGGGGCCTAGTGTGCCGTGCCAAGAGGCAGCAGTGAGGGACATAGCTCCAGCCTTGAGCATGACGGTGTGGAATATGGATGCCTTGAGTATTGGAGTGCCAGCTGCTCGTGTTAAGGGGCAAGAGGTTACGAGGGAAAAGCTGGTCCTAAGCCTTGGGAAGAGGTTGTGTAGGGCCAGTAGCAGCTGGAGCCCCATCCTGGCCTCCTGCTCCCAGAAGATCCTTCAGCCCCTCCCCTGATCAGATGCTCCATGCCTTTGGCAGCCGACACGCTGCCCCTTTGGCCCTGGGTCCTGGGTGCTGACAGTGAGGATATGCTTCTGTCCATGCCCAGGGGCGCTCAGTGCTGGATGCCACTGGGCAGCGGTGCCGGAATGTCAAGCGCAGCTTCGCCTACCCCAGCTTCCTGGAGGAGGATGCTGTCGACGGAGCAGACACCTTCGATTCCTCCTTTTTTAGTAAGGCAAGCATGGGGTGTGGACTCTCTGGGCAGGGGCTGGGGTGGCCTGGGAGCAGGGAGAAGTAACCTGGGCCTTGACTGTGTCCTGCCAGGATCCCCAAAATATCCAAAGGCAGTATGGGGCGTGTCCTTTGTGAGCCACTGGGCTGGGCTCCCATAGAGGGGCAAGTGGAGTGGGGGATGAACCCGCTGGGAGAGTCACTTCAGGGGTGACAAGCATGTGGCTTCCCCTTCCCTCCAGCGTTGTCTTGCCCTTGAGTGGCGTGCTGGGGATGGTCCTTGGGACAGTGACCTTACCCTGTCTTTGGTGCCCTCTACTCCAGGAAGAAATGAGCTCTATGCACGATGATGTATTTGAGTCTCCTCCACTCTCTGCTAGCAACTTCCGAGGGGTCCCACAGTCCGCCTCCCCGGTCTCCCCTGATGGAGTCCAGATCCCTCTGTGAGTATGGGGTTGGAACTCTCCAGCGCCCTGACCTGCCCTCTGCCCAGCTCTGACCCCTGTTAAGCCCTGGGAGGGGCCTCAGGCTGAGAGCATTTGTCACCACCAGAAAAGAGTACAGCAGCCGACCCCCGGTTCCTGGGACCCATCGCGGCAAGCGCATCGCCTCCAAGGTGAAGCATTTTGCCTTTGACCGGAAGAAGCGGCATTACGGCCTGGGCGTGGTGGGCAACTGGTTGAACCGCAGCTACCGCCGCAGCATCAGCAGCACCGTCCAGCGGCAGCTGGAGACAGCCACCGGTGAGCCCTCAGGGGCGAGCCCTCAGGGGCCCTCACCCCAACGCAGGCCCCTCTCATTCAGTAAGGGTTTCAAGCGCACCCCCTGCAGGTCTGTTGGGTCCTGACAAACTACCAGGCACACGTGCTCGGGGAGCAGGCTGTGTGTAACCTGTGCTGCCCTATCCTCAACATGGCTCCCAGACAGCAGTCAGTCAACAAACATTGGGCAAGCACAGCCATGTGCAGGCTCTAGGACACAGCCCTGAGAGAAGGGTATTGTGGGTGGTTGGGGCAGAAGGACAGATGGAAGTTGGAGCCTGGGGCTGGCAAGATGGCTTAGTGTGACTGGTGACCTGACTTTGACCCCCAGGACCCATATAAAGGTGGAAGGAGAGAACCAACTCCACAGAGTTGTCCTCTGACCCACATTCATGTGTCCTGTGCGCCCCACCCCCAATGTGCATCATGCAACACTAATAATACATAATTTAATGTTTAATCCCAGTCTTCAGGAGGCAGAGGTAGACAGAGCTCTGTGAGTTCAAAGCCAGCCTGGTCTATATATTGAGTTCTACCTAATGCTCCATAGAGGTAGCTTGCCTCAAAACAAAAGGAGTTATAAAAGAACTAAAGGAGTTGGAGCCTGGAGTAGGGGATTCTGGGAGAAGCTAGGCACAGAAATGTTAAGGGAAGCCGGAGGTTAAAGAATGAGATTGTCGCAGTGCGATTGGCAATGCGATCCAGTAGACATTGGACTCCAAATTATACAGAGTAAGAAATGGCAGGTGAGGAGAGTAAGTGTCTGGGGAGGAGGGGTGGGCAGAGTCTCCCAGGGGAGGAGAGGAGGGGGGGGAGGGGGGGGGGGCAGAGTCTCCCAGGGGAGGGGAGGGGGGGGGGGCAGAGTCTCCCAGGGGAGGGAGAGGGGGCAGAGCCGGGGGGGGGAAGGGGGGGGGGGAGGGTGGAGGCAGCGGGAGGAGGGGGGGGCAGAGTCTCCCAGGGGAGGGGAGGGGGGGGGGGGTGGCCGAGGGGAGGAGAGGAGGGGTGGGCGGAGTCTCCCAGGGGAGGAGAGGAGGGGTGGGCGGAGTCTCCCAGGTGATATAAAGTGCACAAAGACCCTGGGCTTCAGGGTTGGTGGGCTGATCCAGGAAGGGCAAGCAGAGGAGAAAGAGGAGGTGAGCACAGCTGGGCTGGCCAGTCGGCAGCAGGGGAGACACTGAACCTCATCCCATGGTGACGGCAGTGGGAAGCCATCGGGGGTTTTGAACAGAGAGACACTTGGAGACGCATTTTCAAAGTTTCTGTGGGGAAGGGTGAACTGGGGTGAGCAAAGAGCCCCGGGAAGGGCGGGGCGTGAGCTTGCGGGGCTGACGGAGGCCTCTGCCTACAGGCCCTACTTCACCTACTGGCTGACCTGTGTCCACATCATCGTCACTCTGCTGGTGATCTGCACATACGGCATTGCACCTGTGGGCTTTGCCCAGCATGTCACCACCCAGCTGGTGAGTGGGGCTCTGCCAAGGGGCTTCAGCATGTTGGGCACCCGAGTATCTCCCACCACAGCGGCCGGGCCCAAGCTGGAGGTGCTGAGGCTGACATAGCCTGAATCTCCCCTAGAGGCTCTGTTCTGGGGGTACCACCCATCCCCTCCCCTCTCAGACGCAGGACTCTGGCTCCTCTAATGCCTCACGCTGCCTCCCTTGTAGGTGCTAAAGAACAGAGGTGTGTATGAGAGCGTGAAATACATCCAGCAGGAAAACTTCTGGATTGGCCCCAGCTCGGTGAGGCCCAGCCTGGGGATGCCTGGGAGCCCTGTCTCCTGTCACTCCACGCTGGGCAGATGGGCAGTTGCGGGGAGGCTCCACGGTGGATACGGAGTACCCTGACCCTTCTGAGTGCTGGCTCACTGGCCCCTCTCCCAATCCCAGATTGACCTGATCCACCTAGGAGCAAAGTTCTCGCCCTGCATCCGGAAAGACCAGCAAATTGAACAGCTGGTGCAGAGGGAGCGTGATGTTGAGCGTGCCTCAGGCTGCTGTGTCCAGAATGACCGCTCAGGGTGCATCCAGACGCAGAAGAAGGACTGCTCGGTGGGTCCAGCCCTCTGACCCTGGCGACCCCCCATCACAATCCTGCCACATTGCTGTTCCCTCTCCAGCCCAGCCAGCCGGCAAGCCCAGAGCCAGGCTTGGAAAGTTGGGCAGACTGGGTCCTAGGAAGTACCTGAGCCCTGGGAAATGAGAGTAGTCCTGGTCCTGGAGGGTTCCCTGCCCACACCCCTGAGTAACATTGCCCTGGCATGACCTGACCTCCTCTCCACCGTCTAGGAGACGCTAGCCACTTTCGTGAAATGGCAGAATGATACTGGGCCCTCAGACTTGTCTGAGGGCCAGAAGCAGCCATCTGCGGTTGTGTGCCACCAAGACCCCAGGTACAGCCTGGGGCCACCGATGGGTCTAGAGTGGCACCCAGCTATCCAAGCTTTCCCAGAGGCTGGCCGGTGGGTGTGGCAGGTGGGTGTGTCCCATATCTTCATTTTACCCACTCCACGGCTGCTTTCAGAACCTGTGAAGAACCAGCCTCCAGTGGGGCCCACATCTGGCCTGATGACATTACCAAGTGGCCGGTGAGTGAGTGACTCATGCAGAAGGCCGTGGGATGAGGGTGGGGACATTCGGCTTCCCGTCACTGAGGCCCACCGCCATTGGTACCCTCTCTCTCTTAGATCTGCACAGAGCAAGCCCAGAGCAACCACACGGGGTTATTGCACATAGACTGCAAGATCAAAGGCCGTCCCTGCTGCATCGGCACCAAGGGCAGGTGAGCCAGCATCCTGACACCTTCAGGCTGATGGGCCTCTGTAACTGTCCTCCATTCTCTGCCCTTGGGTGATGAGGAGGCAGGGGTGAAGGGGGCGGTGAGATAGAAAGAGCACTTGCTCCATCCTGCCTGCCATGGCCAGGTGCTGGGCTCTCGCCTAAGTGGGCAGGGGCCACTTGGACCACTGACGCCCTGTCTGCTTCCTGTCCACAGCTGTGAGATCACCACGCGGGAGTATTGTGAGTTCATGCATGGCTATTTCCACGAGGAGGCCACGCTCTGCTCCCAGGTAGGAAAGGCTCTCTGGGTAGTCAGTGGAAGCTGTAGGGGTCCTCAGGCTCACTGGGTCCTTCCCATTTGGAAGCCTCGCACCTGGCCTGCCTCCTAAGGCAGCACTGACGGCCTGTGTCCCCCCAGGTGCACTGTTTGGACAAGGTGTGCAGGCTGCACCTGGCCTGCCTCCTAAGGCAGCACTGACGGCCTGTGTCCCCCCAGGTGCACTGTTTGGACAAGGTGTGCAGGCTGCACCTGGCCTGCCTCCTAAGGCAGCACTGACGGCCTGTGTCCCCCCAGGTGCACTGTTTGGACAAGGTGTGCAGGCTGCACCTGGCCTGCCTCCTAAGGCAGCACTGACGGCCTGTGTCCCCCCAGGTGCACTGTTTGGACAAGGTGTGCAGGCTGCACCTGGCCTGCCTCCTAAGGCAGCACTGACGGCCTGTGTCCCCCCAGGTGCACTGTTTGGACAAGGTGTGCAGGCTGCACCTGGCCTGCCTCCTAAGGCAGCACTGACGGCCTGTGTCCCCCCAGGTGCACTGTTTGGACAAGGTGTGCAGGCTGCACCTGGCCTGCCTCCTAAGGCAGCACTGACGGCCTGTGTCCCCCCAGGTGCACTGTTTGGACAAGGTGTGCAGGCTGCACCTGGCCTGCCTCCTAAGGCAGCACTGACGGCCTGTGTCCCCCCAGGTGCACTGTTTGGACAAGGTGTGCAGGCTGCACCTGGCCTGCCTCCTAAGGCAGCACTGACGGCCTGTGTCCCCCCAGGTGCACTGTTTGGACAAGGTGTGCAGGCTGCACCTGGCCTGCCTCCTAAGGCAGCACTGACGGCCTGTGTCCCCCCAGGTGCACTGTTTGGACAAGGTGTGCAGGCTGCACCTGGCCTGCCTCCTAAGGCAGCACTGACGGCCTGTGTCCCCCCAGGTGCACTGTTTGGACAAGGTGTGCAGGCTGCACCTGGCCTGCCTCCTAAGGCAGCACTGACGGCCTGTGTCCCCCCAGGTGCACTGTTTGGACAAGGTGTGCGGGCTGCTGCCTTTCCTCAACCCCGAGGTCCCCGACCAGTTCTACCGCATTTGGCTGTCTCTGTTCTTGCATGCTGGGTAAGAGGTGCTCACTGCCCCTGCCCAGACTCTGGTGCCTGTTCCTGCATGCTGGGTAAGAGGTGCTCACTGCCCCTGCCCAGACTCTGGTGCCTGTTCCTGCATGCTGGGTAAGAGGTGCTCACTGCCCCTGCCCAGACTCTGGTGCCTTCCCACTTAGACGCTAGAGAAAGGGCTTCTGGCCCCCATACAGCTGGCTCACCCTGCCAGTGCTGACGCCCCTGAGGCATGCCCGGCTGGCTGGTGATGCTGGTGTCTCTGCCCCCAGGATAGTGCACTGCCTCGTGTCTGTGGTCTTCCAAATGACCATCCTGAGGGACCTAGAGAAGCTGGCCGGCTGGCACCGCATCTCCATCATCTTCATCCTTAGCGGCATCACAGGCAACCTGGCCAGCGCCATCTTCCTCCCCTATCGGGCAGAGGTAGGGACTTGGGAGACAAGGGCAGAGAGGGTGGGATGCGCCCTTCCTTGTGGGCCTAAAGTGTTGTGGCACGTGGGAGGACCGACCCCACTGGTTCTTGCTCTAGTCCCACCCCGGGATCTGCAGCAAGGATACAGAGTCCTTGTTGTGTCAAGCTTAACTACAAGACGGACAGTTAAGCTGGGACTTACTGTTTGGTCCCTTCATTCCTGGCAGTGGGGCACAGGGATAGTCTGAAGTCACCAGGGATCCCCACTCCTTGCTCACTGTGGGGATCTCCACCCTCAGGAGGAAAGGCCTTTTTTTTTTTTTTTTTTTTTTTTCGAGACAGGGTTTCTCTGTGGCTTTGGAGCCTGTCCTGGAACTAGCTCTTGTAGACCAGGCTGGTCTTGAACTTACAGAGATCCACCTGCCTCTGCCTCCCGAGTGCTGGGACTAAAGGCGTGCGCCACCACCGCCCAGCTCCAGGAAATGTCTCTTGACCATTCACCTTAAGTCTATTGCTCCTTCTGGTCTGTGCTCTGCCCACTGCCTGTGTCCTGGGACTGAGTCCGTGGGCCGCCTCTCTCCTCCCCAACCCTAGGTGGGCCCAGCCGGGTCACAGTTTGGCCTCCTCGCGTGTCTCTTTGTGGAGCTTTTCCAGAGCTGGCAACTGCTGGAGCGGCCGTGGAAGGCGTTCTTCAACCTGTCGGCCATCGTGCTTTTTCTCTTCATCTGTGGCCTCCTGCCCTGGATAGACAACATTGCCCACATCTTCGGTTTCCTCAGCGGTATGCTGCTGGCCTTCGCCTTCCTGCCCTACATCACCTTCGGCACCAGTGACAAGTACCGCAAGCGGGCGCTCATCCTGGCCTCGCTGCTGGTGTTCGCTGGGCTCTTTGCCTCCCTGGTGCTGTGGCTGTACATCTATCCCATCAATTGGCCCTGGATCGAACACCTCACCTGCTTTCCCTTCACCAGCCGCTTCTGCGAGAAGTACGACCTGGACCAGGTGCTACACTAATTGCAGAGGTGGTGTCTGTAGGGACTTGCTGACCGCTGAGCCCTGAGCCGGGGCTCACTCTCCAGATGAGACAGGTAGTAAAGGCAGATTCCCCAGGGAGATGAGACCTCCCTATCTTGGGCCCGAATGTTCCTGACCCAAGTTTGGGGGATGTCCAGAACGCCTGTTTCTTCACAGCTCAGGTCCTAGGCCCTGCCTGCCTTTCTTCCCCTATAGAGACAATAACTTTTCTTACCAGGGCTCAGCGCTCTGGCCTCTGCAGGTGCCATCTTCTCATTGTCACTGTGACTGTGACCTCACCAGACATACACACAGCTGCTCCCTCAGTTGTCCCCGGGGTTGAGGTCCCCACCATGCTGCTATGACCCTTTTCCTGTCTCTCCTCTCCTCCCTGTCCTACAAGCCCTCCCTGCATTTGTCCATGGGTTCATGAACCTGCTCCTAAGGCTCCTGGATTAGTGTGTGGGAGAGGCTTTGGCCATTGTCTAGGGCCAGTGACAGCAAGGAGAGATGGCTATAGGGGTCTGCTAAGGGCTTTTGTTAATCAAAGAAGCCAGATCTGGTGAACCACCAGCTCAGCCCTAGCTCCAGGACTTCTGTCTGACCACACAGGTCAGTTCTGATGCTGGGTGTCCCTCCACCTCTTCCTCACTCCTGCCTGTGTGGCCAGGTGCTGACCCACCTTGAGGACTGACTCCCAGGGAACACTTGAGGCTCAGCCAGGGCTGGTGTCTTATTTTTTTGTTTTTTGGGTTTTTTTTTTTCTTTTTCAATTTATATTCCGGTCCTAATTTTTTAAAGTAACGCTAACTTTGTATGGACAATGTCTCAAATTTATTAAATAGCATTCTCTATTCAGTGTCTCTAAAATACTGCTTTTAGCCTCAGGCTTCTAGGAGAATGAGAATGGAGCTAGAGAGATGCTCACGGCCTGTCCTTGAGGTGGACTTGGATTCAGTTCCTGGCTCCCGTGTCAGGTGGCTCACACTACTGTAACTTCAGCTCCAGGGAATCCCATGCTCCCCTCTGGCCTCTGTGGGCACCTTGTCTCTCTCTCTCTCTCACACACAAACACACACACATAAAAATGAATATTTATAAAAAGAAATACTCAAGCCAGGCAGTGGTAGTGGGCACCTTTAAGCTCAACACTCAAGAGGCAGAGGCAGGCAGATCTCTGAATTCAAGGCCAGATTGATTCACAGAGGGAGTTCCAGGATAGCCAGGGCTACACACAGAAACCCTGTCTCAGAAAACAAAATAAACAAAAAACCACTCAAAGACTGGCAAGATTAAAAGCACTGGCGGCTTTTGTAGAAGACCTGGGTTCAGTTCCCAGCACCCACATGGCGGCTCACCTGAAACTACAGTCCCAGGGGATCCAACTCTATCTGTATGTTTGCTACACAGATAGACATGCAGACACATGTACATAAAGTTTTTTAATGTTTTTCATTTTGAAAGCTAGGCATGGTGGCACTTGAGGGCAGCCTGGTATACATAGTGAGTTCTAGACCAGCCTGAGCTATCTAGTAAGACCCTATCAAAAATATTTTCTTTTTAATTTAAAAAATAAACACTTAGGTGAGAGGGCAGCAGCCACGGGGCTGAGGCAAACTAGAGAACTTAGGATTTCTCTGGCATTTCGTTGAGCCCAAAACCAGATTCGATCATCACAAAGACGCCGAGAACCCTGCGAGGCCTGGGTTGCATGTAGAGCCCTGAGACCTTTTAACCCCAACTGCTCTGCCTTTGCTCTCGGGCAGTCAGAGGGCTGACCATCTGCAGAAATGGCCTGTTCTGGCAGAGGCACTCTTAGCGGGAGATCAGGCAGTGTTTGCTTCTCCAGTCAGCTCACTTAGAAGACCCTGTACACACCCATAAGTCAGCCACTGGGACATAACTGCTTTATTAGTGGGACTTTATTAGGGGGAACCAGAATAGAAGGCAAGTCTGGGCGAGCGGGTAGGTGGGCACACTGGTGCCCAGGTGCAGTGGGCGTGGCCCCACAGCATGTCCCTACTCCAAGTTCGCCACCATTCACAGGTCCAAGCCCCAGGCCCTTCTCAAATTAAGCTCCTGGCTGGCCCTCATTCCTGTGAGGAGCCAGGAAGGGGTGTCAGTCTGGGGAGGGCAAGGACCGCAGGAATCAGGGAGCTACACTGGGATGTGGGATGCAGAAACAGAGTGGGTAGAGGAGGAAGTGTGGGGACAATCCTGCCATTGCACTGATTGCCTATCCTGGTCTCGGCTTTGTGCACAGTTCAGAATGCAAGAGGGCCTTTGGGGGCAGGTGGCAGCCTGCCCTGGGGCGGAGCTACCTCCTGTCCTCTTCACTGACCCTTACCTCTCTACTCCAGTTGGCAGCTGCTGTCTCCCTTCGTGCTAGCCAGCTCTACTTGGATGGGCTCTAGGCAGAGGAGGGTGTGGCATGGGAGTTAGGAACCCCCAGCCTGCTGCTCCCACCTCTCCATGGCCAAGCAGGCAGCCTGGTTCAGCAGCCGCTGTTCCTGCGCAGGAAGGCATGGCACCGCAAGGAGCACTGTAGCTCCGTGAAGGTGAGGGAGCCCACGGTGACAGCACACGGGCCCACAGCCTGGAAGCCAAATTTCTCATAGAAGGGCACCAGTGCATCCTCGCACATGAGCACAGCCCGGCGCACGGCTGGCTGGCTCCCCAGGTGGTGCAGGTATCGCCATAGCAACACAGAGCCCTTGCCCTGCTGCCGGAAGGCGCGGTGCACTGCCAGTATGTGCAGGTGGGCCGTGCGGCCTCCAGGCCTGTGCAGTGCCAGTGACTCCTGGGGTGGGTAAGGGACGATGTCAGGGTTACTTCTGCTGATAACCTGCTCCTCCAAACCCAACCCTAACCAAGAGGAAGGGTGTCCCGGGTACCGGGAGAAGCCCAGGCTCCCTTCTTACCCTGACAGGGCCCCACTGTGAGCCACATCTACACTCCTACAGACAAAGCTTCAGTGGTCTTTCGAGACTCTAAAGCGGCAGTTTTAGGTGTCACCTAAGACTGTCGGAAAACAGGTACTTACATTACGATTCATAACAGTGGCAAAGTTACAGTAATAAAAGTCCCAACAAAAAGTAATGTTATGGTCACCACAGCGTGAGGACCTGTGTTAGAGTGCCGAAGCATCAGGAAGACTGAGAACCCTGCTGTAGAGGCTTGGGCAGAGGGCTCTTGCCTTGGGAGGGTCTGCTGCTTGCATTTACTCCCTGCTGGGAAGGAGACTTCCATCTCTGAGGAGTTCACCCTGCCCTCACCTGAGTAAGTCTCTCCTGGTCCCAAAGTGAGCCGATGATGAAGGCCACAAGGCGACCCTCCTCAAACCAGCCCAATGACAGCTCTGGACAGAGGGTCAGGAAGTGTCGGATCTCCTCCAAGTAGAGGGGACAGGTACCAGAGACAGAGATGAAGGCTACGGCGGAAGGCAAGGATGGGCGACTGTTTGCTATGCCACTTGCTCACTGTTTGTGTTCACGAGTGGTCACTCAGACGCCCCCCTCCAGGAAGGCATTGACTCTGGGCTGTTGCCTCCTACTCGAGAGCACCTTCCCTCCCTCCCTCCTTCCCTCCCTCCTTCCCTTTCTCCCTCCCTCCCTCAGTCCTCTCTCTCTCTCAAATTTAACTCCCAAAGGCAGGAGCCTCAGGGGAAGACAACAGTTCCCTCGAGCACCTTCCCAAGAGCCACTCACCTTCACGCTCAATCTCAAACACACTGATAGCATCCCTGGGGGTAAGGCAACGGAACTCGCTGGCAGGGAGTGTGTGGCGCCGCTGGCAGCCTAGGAACTCTGAGGTCCCAGGCGGCAGGTGCATGGCCTCAGGTTCCAGGGAGTGGATGCTCAACATGGGCATCTGGTCGCTGAACCCTCCCTGGGGTTCTCCAGCTTCAGAAGTGGTCTCTAAGCTCCTGTGAGAGAAGACAGGGAGCCTGGCCTTCGTCTTGAAGAATGTAAGTCAGGTATCTCTGGGGATAGTGCCGTCCTCAGGTGCCTGGACCTCCAGGCAAATTCCAGGAACTTGGAATGTTAGTGTATCTCCTCTTTTCACTCAAGAGCTAGAGGTCAGCTGGAGAGATGGCTCCGCAGATAAAAGCACTGGCTGCTCTTCCAGAGGACCCGGGTTCAATTCCCAGCATTCACATGGCAGCTCACAGCTGTCTGTAACTCCCATTCCAGGGCATCCTCACACAGACACACATGCAGGCAAAACACCAATGCACATAAAATAAGAATAAATAAATTATAAACAACAACAACAAAAGAGCTATCGGTCCCTCTGAGAAGTTGTCCAATGCTCCAGACAGATTCCACTGCCCTCCAGGTACCTGAGCCTTGGCAGATTGTGGCCACCCCAACCCTGTTGCCCAAGGGGACAGTGGAGCAATGTTGCATGAACCTCCAGCCTCCTCTCCTGAATCTGTGGGAGACACCCAGGCCTCTGATACTGAGGTCATAAGGCTTCTCTCACCCAAAAGGAGACTTCTAGCCTTCTTTCTGTATGAGATAGTACAGTGGCCATGAGAATGTTTGGTTCTTGTTTTTTAAAGGAGGTGTATCTGATGGCTATGCCACATGCGTGCAGGAGCCCACAGAGGACAGAGCCATTGGGCCTGGTGCTGGAGCTACCCAGTGTGGGTGCTGGGAACCGAACTCAAGTCCTCAGGGAAAGGGATACAGACTCTTAATCTCTGAGTCATCTCTCCTTCCTTTTAGGTTGCCCCAGACTTTAGTCCAGGAGAAAAAGCTCTTTAATTAATGTGAGGCTGAGCGCCCGTTTCCCCAGATGACGTCAAGACTAGGTCATGCTCAGGAGACGAGGGATAAGATGGTTAAAGAGTCTGAGACTGGAGAGTGGCCTGGTATGGGGGGCATTCAGGGAGACTGTCCACCAGCTTAGACTCATGGCAGATGCCCCTGTGGGTACCCTCTTTCCTATGACACCCTATAAAGATGCCTTCCATGTCTCTGCCTTCAAAAGGGGCTGGGGAGTTAAGGTGAGGTGGCTCAGCAGGTACAGGGACTTGCCACCAAGCCTGAGAACCTGAGTTTGATCCCAGGAACCCAAGTGAGAGGGAGAACCGATTCCTACAAGTTGCCCCTGTCTCACACATGTTCACACCCACACACGCACATTAAATAAATAGAATAAAAATGTTCTTATTTTAGGTGGGCAGTGGAGATAGCTCCCGGATGAGGGCCTAAGCACAATCCCCCCAAAACATAAGAAAAACCCAGAGTCAGTACCCATTGCCAGTATCTGCAGTCCTAGAACGGGCAAGACAGGATGGGCGAACCCCTGGAGCTCACTGGCTCCCTTAGCCAGCCTAGTCTACTTGGTGAGCTTCAGAACAGCAAGAGACCCTATCCCAAAAGATGAAGTAGATGGTTCCCGAGAAGGACACCCAAACCAAACCTCTGGCCTCCATTACACATGCACACACATCCACACAAAGAGTCAGGCATTGCGTCCACTTACCAGAACTGTCAGTAGTCCAAGTGTCCCCAATACAGAGCCAGTCACCCTAGGGGCTGTCGCCAGGTGCAGGAACTAGGCGAACCTGAGACTCCTGTCTGCAAGGCAGCTGTAGCACCTGTTTCCCTGGCAGCATGTGATGAGCTCTGAGATGTCTAATCCCCCGACCCTGCCTCCCATGTTACATCAGGCGGTATGATGCCAGCAGGACTGGGCGGTCAGACCCTGGCCCCATCATGCTGAGGACAGGCGTCAGCAGTGGCGCAAACGACACAGAAGGAATTACTAGTAGCTGTCTCAAGCCCTGGGCTATAGGAAAAGCATGGGCTAAGCCTGGGGGTCTGACTGTAATCCCTGCCCTGTCCCCAGCTGGCTGGGTACCAGCAATCACCTTATGTCCTTCAGAGGCCAGTTTGCCCATGCCTCAGAGGGTCCTTCCTGGTCAGACAGCCTGCTACTTTTTATAGCCACATGCCTGGGGAGGCATTTTCTACAACCCAGGGGACATCCTCCCAGGTGAGTGTAATTGCCTCCATCTTACAGAGGAGGAAAATGAGGCTCTTCAATAACCTCATGGACTCAGTCAGGCACTAAGAGAGCAGAGAAGTCCCCAGAAACAGTTTTCATAGCCTTCAGAGCAGAAACACCTAAATACCGTCAACCAAAGAGAGAGCTGCCACCTTGAGCTGCCACCAGGCAGCATCTGGAAGACACCAACACAAGGGTGATAGAAGCCAGAAAGCAAGAAACACATGGTGGTTTCCAGTCTAGCACAGGACCCAGGTACCGGGGACCGGCTGGGGGCTGCCCAGGGACTGACCTTAGGGATACTAGTGAGGTAACCGGTCTGTTGTACAATGCTAGGTCATGCAACTGTCTGTATGCTTGTTACATTTGCATTCTTAAACTCCAAAGACCTCTGAGCTCCATCTCAGCTCCAACCATCCCAGCCTGTAGGACCTTCAGCACCTGCAATCTCTGTTCCTCACACAGCTGTCCCCCTCGCCTCCCCACTCACACCACCCTCTGCTCTGCCCTGCCCAGCACCTGCCCTGTCCTTATATCATATGTTCCCTTCTTCACCAGGGGCAGTCAGTGTACCAGGCTCCTTGTCCGCTCAAGGCTCTGAGCCAGGAGGTGCATTCCCCGAAGCCACCAGCAGAGGGTGCACCTGCTACTTACTATTCATGATCCTGACACAGGGGCAGCAGTTCCAGCCTTGAACCTTGGGGAGACCAGGGCGCACTGTCATTCTTTTGTTTAAATTAAAAATGAAGAAGAAAGAAAGAAAGAGAGAGAGGGAGAGAGGGAGGGAGGGAAGGAGGGAAGAGGAAGAGGAAGAGGAAGAAGAGGCGTCAGATGAGACATATTAACCAGTTTGTTATAGACCCGGCAGAGTAGGGAGACTAAGGGAGAAGAGAAACATGGTATTAGGCTGACCGCCAAGGCTGGTCGCCATAGAGAGGCAGAGAGAGAGAATGTAGAGAGTTAAAGAGAGGGTGTAGATGAGTAGAGAGAGTATAAATGGGCAGGGGTCTGTCTTTTAAAGGAGTCCTCTGCACCTGAGTGCAGACTTAGTTCCCATGGAACCCTTGGCTGACCAGGGTACTGCCTGTTCCGCCAGGTAACAGGGGCAGGCCAGCATAATGCCTGAACCTCTCTGCCACCACACACACATTTTGCTATCTGTGGCGTCCTCTTTCCCCAGGGCCTCTCTCTGCTGTCTGATGTTCCTGTTGTTGCCCCAACTGCTTGCTCCCGGCCATTTCCATCTCTCCCCTGCAGGAGACCCTCAGCAGACTTCCCATGGTTGATCAGAAAGACCTCCTTGGGCCTGGTGGGGAACACATTCAGGACCCCCAGCTAAGCACCCATACTGCCAACGTCCAGGGTTTCCCAAGGCTGTGTCCTTCTTAGTTGAAGGCTCCATTGCACCCCCTGGTGTCCAATCACAATTACGGGTGGATGCCCACAGTTCCATCCCTTGTCATGGACCATCCTCATGGCTAGGTACCATCTGGAAAACACCACTCTCTACACATGGTGACCCTCTGAAAACAGGAAAGGGCAATGTATTGGACATGGCTAAACTGGGGAATCATGCTGCACCAGCCAAGAGGCGGAAGTGAAGGAGAAGGAAGGTGATGGCCGGGTTCTCTGCTGGGCAATAGGAAGAAAACACGCTACTGAACTGGGGATGTGGCTCAGCCAGTAGAATGCTTACCTACCCCAGCACTGTAAATGCCAGGTGTGATGGCACAGGCCTGTGATGGGATGGGGAGACAGGATCCGGAGTTCAAGCTACATAGTTTAAGATCGATAGGGAGGGGGGAGAGGAAGGAAAACAGCAAAGGGGAAAGCATCCCATATTGAGAGGTGCAATGATCAAAGATCGGATGCCCTGAATTACAGGCCATCATGCCGGGAAGTCAGCGCAAGAGCTCAAGGCAGGACCCTAGAGGCAGAAACTGAAGAAGAAACTATGGAGGAACGCCTCTCATTGGCTTGCTCTTTATAGTTTGTTTAGTTTTCTTTAAGGATGTATTTATTTATTTTACATACAGTGCTCTGCCTTTACGCCAGAAGAGGGCACCAGATCTCATTATAGACGGTTATGAGCCACCATGTAGTTGCTGGGAATTGAACTCAGGACCTCTGGAAGAGCAGCCAGTGCTCTTAACCTCTGAGCCATGTCTCCAGCACCAGCTTGCTTTCTTATACAACCCAGGACCACCTGTCCAGGGATGGCACTGCCTCACACAGCAATCAATAATCAAGAAAATGCCCCACAGACATGCTCACAGGGCAATGTGATGGGGGCAATTCCTCAACTGACATTCCTCTTTCCAGATGTGTCTCGGTTTGTGTCAAGTTGACAAAACTAGTCGGGTGGCGGTGGTGGTGCACTCCTTTAATCCCAACACTCAGCAGGCAAAGGCTACATCATCTTGATTACAAAAAAATTCTTGTCATTTGCATTGACTTGGTGTGTGAGTTGTGTTGGTCCTAAGCAGACTCCAGAACATCCCTACTCCAAACCAGTAGTCCTCATTCCTGGCTAAAGATTGGAATCACCTGGGATTTGGGGGCTGGGCAATGCTGGAGAGATGGCTCAGCCTTTAAGAGCACAGGGTGCTCTTCCAGAAGACATGGGTTCAATCCTCAGCACCCACATGGCAGCTCAAAACCATCTGTAACTTCAGTTCACAGGACTCCATCACCCTCTTCTGGCCTCTGTGGGCACCAGACATGTATGTGGAACACAGATGCCCTACACGCAGGCAAAACACCCATACACATAAAATAAAATAATTAGGGGACTAGAAATGGATCAGTGGTTAGGAGAACTGGCTACTCATCCAAATGACCCAGGTTTGAGTCCCGGAGCTACATGGTGGCTCACAACCATCTGTAACTCCAGTTCCAGGGATTCCAATGCTGTCTCATGACCTCTACTGGTGTTGCACACATGTGACACAGTTACATACATGCAGGCAAACACCTGAACCCTAAAAAAATAAAAATAATTTTTATAAAAAAATAAGTAATTGCCGGGCGTTGGTGGCGCACACCTTTAATCCCAGCACTCGGGAGGCAGAACTCACAGTTAGAGACCAGCCTGGTCTATAAGAGCTAGTTCCAGGACAGCCTCCAAAGCCAC